TATTATTATTATTATTATTATTATTATTATTATTATTATTATTATTATTATTCCTTTGTAGGCCCTCTTCCCCTATGGGCAGGTGGGGGCAGTAGGAAGCTTAATTCATCATACACAAAGCATAAAGACATAAGTGGAAATCCAATTAGCCAATGATCTATCCTTTTTTCCCCCTTCCATTTTCTTGGCCAGTAAGTTCTTTTTTCACGGTAATTTGATTGGATACAAAATGTTGTCTATAATTAGTTATCTGGGGATGTCCTGAAACCAAGGCAGTGCCCCTTAAATGGGCCAACTAAGTTTTCTCCAGCTCATGGCCACAAGCCAATACCTCTAACCAATTTGACAAGTCAGCCAGAAAATCCACCAGGTTATTGGCCTCTCTCTCAGTGGAGGGTGTAGCTCCTTCTGGGGAAACCAGCAGGATAGCTCCAAGGGCACGCCTTTCTGATGGTGGGTTGTCTTCATTTACAGAAGAAAAGTTCCTTTTATTAACCCACTTATCTCCCATTATTCACACAAAAAGGTAAGGCAGGAAGGCAAACATTGGGCCACTTTTCAGACTCCCCAAAGTCCTCCATGTCCTGAAACATTTGCTTCATTTGACTAAGAGTTCTTAACTTGGGGTCCAGACATTTATCTTCTTTTTTTTTGCCTTTTTTTTTTTTTTGGTGAGGCAATAGGGGTTAAGTGACTTGCCCAGAGTCACACAGCTAGTAAGTAGAAATTTATTTTTAAAAAACAGTCCAATAATTCTATTACAATATAATTGGCTTCCTTTGTAAATCCATATATTTTGTTTTATGCATTTAAGAACGTGGCTCTGAGAAGGGGTCCCCAGGCTTCACCAGAGCCCTGCTAAGGGGAGCCAGGACACAAAAAGAGGAAAGTAGGCTGTCTAACCTCAGAGGGGACCATGTATTTTCTTCCCCACTTGGAGCATTCAGTGACCTCACTGCCGTCCCATTGAGGAGTCAGTCACTCTTTTACACCTTAGTATGAATTGCTTTAAGTTAACATGTTACTTTTCCCTCTGGGAGGATTAGCAGTCATAGACAGCAGCAAGTCTCGGTTGGAAGGACAAGCAATCAGGCCCAGCAGAACTGGGGCAAGACCGGGACAGCAGGAGAGCAGAGAAATAGGCCCAGAAAGGGAACGGCAGCTGGTGGTGAGGCTGGAGCCTGGACTCTGAAAGCAGGTAAGCGGTCTGGAGTTTATCCACATATATAAAGCAAGGACAGACTCCTGGTCAAAACCAGGCAGCCAAGCAGAGTCAGGGCCTACCTGAGATAGCTCCTGAGGCTCAGCACAAGCAGTGAGTTGAAGAGGGGCTGAGACGGTCAGAAGGATAGATCGGGTCAGTAATCCACACTGTCTACCCAGGAGACCCTCGGGACCTGAAGGGCTGGGCCACGGTGGAGAAATGAGAGATTGATCACCCAGAGAGACGGATGCTTCCCAGCCCTCCTCTGGGTTACACTGGCTTCTTGTTAAGGTAGGAATCAATCCCGACTTGGTTAGTCTGGGCCCTGAAGGTGAGGGTGAGTATTCGGAAACAGCTGGCTTAGGGGGAAAATGGGAGTGAGAAAGGAAAGCAGTAGGTGCTGGCTGGTAGAACCTGACTCCTAGAGCTGTTGGCCTTTCCAGTGTTCTCTCCCATTGTGGAAGCAACAGCTTCCTCCACTGTGAGAAGAATTTCAAGCAGTAAAATCAATGAGCAGTGACAGGCTGTGGCGTCCTGGAGTCAGCTCATAGTGACTCTTGAGCTGGTTGTTAAATTTCCAGGGTAAGCATTTATACTTTGGAAATCAGCAGATGCCACAAATTAGGACATGATTTATTATTTTGCTAATTGTCTAGACTTAGGAAGTGATGAGAAAATTTGAATACTGAAGATCAAACTTAAAAGTGTATCCTTTGTAGTTGGTTTTGGGTTTTTTTGGAGAGCTGGTTATTAAATGTTTACCAACACATTCTAAACACAATAAACTTTTGGGGCATAAGAGGGCTCTCACCTTGGTGCTTAGTGGTTTCCTTTCCTTGGAATTCCTTCCTCCAAACCTCCAAACCCTCAACCTCCTGTTTACTTGGACAATCAACTAGATCTGTGATCCTGGGGACATGGGTCCTCCCTCCCACAGAGTAGATCCTAACTCCTGCAGGCCTCCTTATCCAATGTAGCTCCTGTCCTAACATTCCCATCCCCTGAGGGGATCCACTGGGCAGGTGAAGGGTCTTCCTCTAGAAACCTGACATTTGACAAGCCCAGGCCCTTTCCCAGGTATGCATTGCTATGGTGACCTCCTTTATGTGGCTTCTCCTACATAGCACTGTGCCTACCACACAGTAGGTGCTTAATAAATGTTGAATGAATGAATGAATACTATGTTACAGCTGACTCATGCCCACCATAAGCTTCTTCAATGGCCTCTGGGTGACCAGCCCCATTGACTTTTCTCAAGACTATGGCATTACCTGATTTATAACCACATGGCAACATGTGAGAAATATAGATGTCAGAAAGATGGGCCTTTATTTCAAAGAAAAGCCTGGGGATTGTTAAAAACACCTCCCGATGACTCAGACGTAATCTAGCACATTCTTCTCATCCTAATCGCTTCTGGACATCATCCACCAGCAGGGTCTGCCCAAGGCGGACCACTTCTATAGGTTGTCTAGTCAACTACACAAAGGCATTCTTCATCCATTTGGTTTTTCTAGTGTGGATGGTTAGGCTGAACTTGTTCTAGTCATGGTGGCCTCGTTCAGGAGGCTCTGAAATGCTTCAGGGCCTGGGGCAATCGGCACAACACGCTCCACAGAAGCAGAAAGGGGCCACCCAGGACCGAGGGCCATTATGCATTTTCTGTTGTTTCCATTGTTTTGTGGGTGAACACTGCCAACAAGTGGACATCAAGGAGTGTAATGAGCAGTAACGAGCCAATCCCCAGGTAGCCAGGCTGGCTCTTGGAAAATGGACCCAGGCTGTTTCTGAGACTGTGCTCAAAGCCTTTCCAGGACGGTAGAAACAGCCAGCGCTCGTGTTCTGCTCATTAGTGTTTGAGGACCCATGGTGAGGCACCTGATACGTGCCTGTCCACATTCTAGTCATCCTTCAAGGCCAAGCTAAAATGCCCCCTACCCCAGAAAGCCTGTCTTCCCTGATTCTTCCCTTCTCCCCTGCAGAGGAGATTTCCTTCTTCCCCTAAACCTCCACAGAATTTCATTTGTAGCATTCACAGGGCACTTAATGCATCCGCTCTTGTAGGAGGATCATTTGAGACTGCATCTTCTCCTCTCCACCCCGACCGGCTTTGGCCTCATCGCTGCTGCTGCTGCTGCTACTGCTCTATCATCCAAAGGAGGCATCCTGAGGAAGCACCTGGAGCCATGCCCCTCATAGGTGAAAGCTGACTACATCTGGGGGCCCACGAATGACCCTGCTCCCCTCCAGCCTGCTGAGTGCTGTCAAACGTCTTTCCTCTCCTCTCCTTTCCACCTCATGTTTTGGGAATGAGAATTCACTTAGTGCCTCCTATGCACAAGGTGAATAAGATTTGATTACTGCCCTCCCAAGAGTTTGTTTACAATTGGTTCTAGAAAGTACTTAGTCTATTCACCAGCCCTGTGACTTCCCAGTCCAAAACACTCTTCCTTGCGCCCCCCCCCCCCAGTAGAATGTAAGCTCCTTGGGGGCAGGGACTCTCTTTCTCTTTGGATTTGTATTCCCCACTGCTTAGCCCAGTGCTGGACACTGTAAGTGCTAAATGAATGCTTTTTTTTTTCATTCATTCCTTCATTCCCATCTCATCTCAGACTTCTAATGTATGTTCTCACAGGGAAGGGAGCAAGTCTCATTCATTTTGTACATTCTAGGCATTTAACAAAGAATTGTTGAGTCAGTGAATCTCACCACATAGGTACTTGCCTATTTTGTTCAAACATAAAGTCACTCCTGCACATCACCCCTCATGTTCCAGCCAACAAACCCCAGGACTTTGCTCATTGCTGAGGTGAAGAGGTCAGAACAAGTTACTACTGAGCAAGAACAATCATAAGTGAACCTTAGCAATACAGGGACACTGACAGCTTGGAAGAGAAAACGGGCACAGAAGCTCAGACAGAAGTTCAGTCATCCTCTGGGAGTTGTCACAATCTTTTATTTGTCGGTTCCATTATTTTCATTACCTCCTCCACAAGTCCTTTATATCTATTTCTCTTCCCTCCTTCTTTTCTCTTTCTGTCTCTGTGTCTGACACTCTCTGTCTTTCTCTGTCTCTGCCTCTCTCCGTCTCTGTTTTCTCTCTCTCTCTCTCTCTCTCTCTCTCTCTCTCTGTGTGTGTGTGTCTCTCTCTGTCTCCTTCTCTCCCTCTCTCTCCCGCCTCTTTCTCTTTCTGAGTCTGGGTCTCCCCATCTCATCGAGGATAGAAGTGCAGTAGCTGTTCAGTCTCAGTCTCATCATTGATTGCGTTGGGGGCTTAGATCTGCCCTACATCCCATCGGTACATTCCATCACTCCTTAGGCAGCTGGCTGCCCTCCACTCCCCAAGGACTCACCCTCTTGGTGCCTTAACCCTACTACACCTCAAAGCTCTGGAGCTCAAGCAATCTGCCAGCCTCAGTCTCTCCAGCAACAGGAACTGCAGGCATTCGCCATCAAAAATGAACTTAATTTTTTTAGGAGAGAGAGAGAGAGAGAGAGAGAGAGAGAGAGAGAGAGAGAGAGAG